AAACTAGACAGTTGATAATATGACCATGCTCATACCTTTTCTTGATTATCAATGCAAGGATGTTGAGTTTTGAAGTTTCCAAATAATTTAATTCCACTTTTTACTAGTTATTTTTTTTCTCAGAACTGCTTGTTGCATGCTTAATTCGTCCCTTCACAATTCAATGACTTTGTTCCTGATAGACAAAAACCAGCTCTATTTCCCGACGCATCAGTAGCTTCATGTCACAATTAGATAAAAACAGTGGCGACTAAAAATCGTATCCATGACGAAAAAGTCTCATTTACTTTTCTTTGGCGCGGTGTGTTTACAAAAGATTAAATAAACAGATAGACCGGACATTTGAGTTCTTTTTTGATATGAGCAGAGCACCGACATTAATTTGTTTTTAAATCGACCATCGACGACACAATGCCGTGGCGAATGCTTCTTGTGATTGGCCGATGATCCATGTCGGGGTCTTGTGTACTTTACCGTCATTGGCGTACATCAAATATTTGTTTACCTATTGTTCATTCGTCGATTTAGTCAGGTGTCTGTTGCATTACCTTAACGTGAGAACAAGTCATTCCATTCCAAATGTTTCGTAACAAAAGACAGCATTGAAACTTCGTATTGTTGGAATACGATTCAGGGGACACAGACGCATTGTGGCAAAAATTCACGTTAGCACGTGCAGCGCCCTAAGCGGGGGTGACACCACCCCCCAAAATCTTAAATGGAAAGGGGGGTCGAGTGATACCTTATTTTAAAGGTCTTTCAATTCCCTTTATAATGATTATTGTACTTCAGTTCAGTAGTTTTGAAGATTTATTCATTTAAAGCTTAAATAGAACTAATACATCATCATTAGTGGAGATCAATACATTTGGCAGCAAAGTAATTTAAAAATGAAGAATGAACTGATCCGTTAGGCAAGTAAATGTTGAAGATGGCCACCATGACTCTCCATGCAATAATAAAGATTTTGCTCAAAACGTTGCCGCACATTTTGCAATATTTGAGGAGTAATTTGAAGGCACTCATTCACAATTCTGAAGTTATACAACATCCAAAAACATATACTATTTTTGAATTTTTTGCGATTGCAATACCTCCTCCAGTGGCGTAGGAAGTAAGACAGTTCAAAACAGTATTTGTAATGAAATCGCAATCATGATGCCCGAAATATTGCGGAAAGTGTAGGATGACTCTATAGAATTTAAGAGATTTTATCCTTCATACCTAACACCCATCAGTATACATCTTTTTAACACAATTTCATTTCAAATATCGTTTAAATAGAAATAATATACTAAGTGACATATAAATCCGAACACCCAGTTTAAATGGTTTTATTTTAATAAAAGTTGGTGAATGTATTTATCTTACTGTAAATAACAAGTGAAAAAATGTTCAGCCTTATCAGTTGGACATTCCGGTTTTTATACTGCTTTTTTTTAATTCACTAACGCTCTAAAAATGAATATTTCAGCCGCAGTAAAGAATCAACGTTGGCGGATTTTGGTTCTTGACATCCTTTACGATCGGTTACGATGCCTAGAGTACGGAGACCTGTACGATTTCGTCAACTTAGTGAGTTTGATAGGGGCCGTATATTGGGACTTCGGGAAGCTGGACTTTCTTTTCGGGCAATTGCAGTTAGAGTGCAAAGAAGTTTAGACACTGTGGTTAGTTGTTGTCAGGCATGGCTTCGAGAAGGCCGTACGTAAAGAGCAAGGGGCACTGGACGCCGCCGTAGAACAACAGACCGTGAAGATCGCCGCCTAAGATTATTGGCCTTAAGGGACCGTTTCTCCACCACCAGGTCCATTGCAAATGAATGGTTTGCAGAACACGGAAGACCTATTGGCATGCGAAGTGTTTACCGACGAATGAGAAGTTTTGGCTTGTTTTCATACCGGCCACACTGGGTGCTCCCTTTAACTCGAGAACACCGACGTAATCGCTTTGAGTGGTGCAGACAACGGTCACTCTGGGATCAGGAATGGAACAGTATTGTCTTTAGTGACGAGTCTCGATTTTGTTTAGGCATGCACGATGGTCGTGCCAGGGTTAGAAGGCGACGTGGTGAAAGGAGGAATCCACAGTTTTTTGTTGAAAGACATGTTCATCACACTGTTGGAGTTATGGTTTGGGGTGCTATAGCTTATGGTTCCAGGTCACCTTTAATCTTCATCAGAGGTAACATGAACGCGCAGCGTTATATCCACGAAGTTCTAGAACCCCATCTTTTACCCTATCTTGACACCCTAGCAGATCCAACTTTCCAACAAGATAATGCCCGACCACATGTTGCAAGAGTCACAATAGACTTCTTTCAACATAATGATGTCACATTGTTACCATGGCCACCAAGATCTCCCGACTTATCGCCAATTGAGCACGTGTAGGATATGATGGGTAGGAGATTGCTCAATTTGCAACGCCCTCCTCAGACTCTAGAAGCACTTCGAGAGGAGTTGGTGGTTGCCTGGAATGAGATACCACAGGAGGACATTGACCACCTGATCAGAAGCATGCCTAGGCGCGTTGGAGAATGCGTAGCACATCAGGGTGCATCCACACATTATTAAAGGTCAAAGGGCTTTAAAGCAGTGCAATCATTTTGAAATTTTTATCATTTACTTATTATGCTTCATTAAGTACTTATACAAAATTTTATTAAAATAAAACCATTTAAACTGGGTGTTCGGATTTATATGTCACTTAGTATATAAACATTAGAACCGATTATTTTGATTATCTGCGGATTCATAAAGGACACCTGCTACTCCACTGATTCAAAGCTGTATCGAATCTGAAATATCTCTAGGTACTATCCGCAATTCAAACTATACCACCGGAACAAAAAATTGATGGATCTTTTTCTATTTCGCTCAAGAAACAGTCTGAAAATTAACACGTCAAGCATTGTAGCATTCAGTTCAGTGTTTTTGTACTCGTACGGAGTAACCCGTTTTATGAATGTATTCAGTAAAAAAGCTTCGCATAATCCCAAGTTACGTGTATCAATAAGAGAGAAATTGGAATTTCATCAGTCCGTGGGTTTTTGTCTGAATTTGATTTATTTGGGGTATTTTCCAAAAATGTTTATTCGTACAGTATCTTGATATTCTACTTCTGAGTTGTTTTCCTTTTTTCTGCGAACAAAAAGTAGGAAAAACTTGCATTCCAAAATTGAAACGTATAACTTCGCGCCAAGGCCAAGCGTGAAATAATATCTTTTTCCATGCCCTTCCCTCAGATTGTAAACCTTCTTCTTCCATGGAGTCGGTTTCAATGAAATGTGACGAAGATAATATTTATTCTCTATAAAATCGCAGTAGGAAATACATGGCATCTCCAAATTCATACATACATTTCAAGTATCTTTTTCTCAATAAACGAGCGAAAAAGCGAGAATATTTTGCATCATCCTTGAAAAATGGATGCAAACAATGTACTAGTAATACTGTAGCTAAAACAGCGATTTTATCTAAGATGCCCCTTGGGCTGAAGGTATCCTTTGGTGGTACTAACAATTTTTTAACAAAAGTATTACACTTTTTTTTGTCTTGTATGCTCATAAAAACACTGATACACTACCTCATATTGAAATTGTTGTATAGATTACCGGTTTTTCTTTGTCTTAATGAAATGTACGGACGCCGAAATTATAAATTACATGAGAACACACGTAAAAAATTTTTGTCGAAAATTGAATCTTTTTTGTCTCAAGGAAAACGAAACGAGGTGGTTACGGGCCTGTAAAGCCGAAAGCCAATTGTTTTTTTCAAGGGATATACAGTGAAAAAGAAGCCCGAAAGTGGATTGTGTAACAGCGGCACCTAATAAGATGACTTGCAGGAACCCTTTTGAGTGTTTATTTAAGCTTTAATGCAGAGTATTAATCCGTTTTTTATCTCTGAGATTGGAACTCCTATAATGGCAGTGAATGGATGATGAAAATATTTGGTCATTTCTTCTTGGATTATGCATTCAATCGATACGATGATGAGGATGTAGTCAAAATGAAGTTCATCATTAGTTTTAACCAATTTAGGGCATTGTGTAATTATTTCATTGTTTTTTATCTAGTAGCCAGTGATGTTTCTCATATCGTCACTTTAAGACATTTTCTTAGTTCGGGTTTTAATAGGAGTCGAGTTAGTTGTATTAGTAATGTTTTTGAAATAGTAACGAACATTATCTATGCTCTTTGTGATAAATAACACTACTATTAAACACAATACGAGAAATGGCACATACGCTAATTGTGTTCTACGGATCTTAAACTTATGATACTTCAAAAGCAATAATGTACCCTGTATTCACGATTTTCCTCGGTTGGAGGTGAAAATGGAAAGGTTTGACAAGAAAATGCCATTTTTGCAATAATTTTAATTGGAATTTATTCCCCATTAACCATGTAAAACAAAAAAAAAACTTTTTTAACATAACCTTTTGAATTAAAGCGACATTATTATAGTGTTATCAAAGCCATGAAATTATAAGTTAAAAAATGCGCTAGGTAACGTTTTCGAGATATTAAATCTTGAAGTTTAACGAAAATCGGAGCTCTAGGTATATTGTAAAATAAGGTTCTACTTTTGGTGAACTTTACAGGATATATTTTCTAGACGATCTTATTTTTCGTCCAAACTGGATGCTTATTATCGCGGATCGTTGCTACTTAACGGGATATTTTTTGCAGATTCTTTTATGTTTTCCATGACACTATTCAAGGTCGCAAGAGAAAAAACGTCAAAATCCAGTAAAAATTATAGTTCCTTGCAAGGTTTTTGACGGTTATGTCATCAATGCCATACGAAATAAGTAGCAAATCGACTGAACCAAGCGCGGAGCTGAAGCTCCATAGGAAAATTGCACACTGGGCAAACCGATCTTTCACGCAGCTGCTCTTGCACACATGAGTTTATTAATAAAGAAACATTGATTTCATTCACTTTTTCAAAATACTCAAATAATTGTGCTAAAAACTGTCGATATTGTCCATTAGTTTTCCAATAATATTTATTAACTTTTAACGTGGTCTAATTTTATATTTTTATTGCTTGTGACCTTCTTTTGGACCTGGTCTAATGTGACATTTCTATTACAGGATCTCCTTGCGAACACGACGGTATTTGCGTGAACACACCAGGCAGCTTCGCTTGCAACTGCGCCCAAGGCTTCACAGGACCACGATGTGAAACGAACGTGAACGAATGCGAAAGTCATCCGTGTCATAATGACGGATCGTGTTTGGACGATCCTGGAACGTTCAGATGCGTCTGTATGCCAGGTACGTTTCCTTCACCGTTCATGCTTGAGGTTTGTCTGAAAATATTTAATGGTGTGATCGATAGGACAAAAAATGTACTATACCGCATTCGTAGGCCATTTACGCCCAGACAAAACAGAACATGTCCATAAGCGAGATTGTACAGGTCCGTATTTTCCTCGATGGTCTTGGAATAATCTAACAAAATAAATGATTATTTTTATAGGATGAAGTGCACATAGTTTTCACAATTCTTTATTCGCTGGAAGTACTTGAATCATCGTCGGAATGGTTAATATTAATTATTACAAGTTCAATTTGAATATCGATCATATTATCCCTCATCATTTCAATTCGCAGTGAAAAGGTGCACCCACCCTTGGATCGTCGCTAAGACTCACCCGTCCACGTTTGAATTCTCCATACCAACGGGAAATTGTCGACTGATGTGGCGCTTCGTTGCCGAAAACAGACAGTAACTCAGCAAGACATTCTTGTTGCGATAATTGTCTCTGAAAGTTGTAATAAATTATGGCGCGAAAATGTTCTCGGTTGAGTTCCATTTTTCTAATGACTTGGTGACACTTAAAAATTCACTGTAGTGAGAATACTGCACGTATTGTTGTGAAACTTTGAATTTAAGTTTACTAAAGAGTTCGGTTAAGATTCAGTACTGACGTTCGATGCGCGCGGCCTACTGTGTTTCTATATGCAAAACTTAAAAGACATCCCTCGTATGTCAACAGATATCTCTGCAGCAGCGCAGGCAGAAGCATAAATGCCAGAGCAACGTGACTGCTATGAGGAACCTAAAGAAACTTTGTTGATCCGATTTGGTCCTCTGATACGTATCATTCTGCATATAATTCTCTAGTATGTTATTCATAGGAAACGTTATTATTGAACGAAAGATAATGTTTATTCTGTGAACTAATTACCCAATCTGTTCCTACAGTTTGGTTTTCGAATGTGTTCTGTTGAACCCTGCATGACCTCTTATTCACAAGGTCACGTTACTCATAAAATTCAACCGGCTCCGGGTCTGACGCATCTGGCGACCAGGGCGAAAGGTGTAATTTCTGGCAATCTGATTTCCAACCGCAAAAAATTATTAAAAGGTTCAAAGGCGGCAAGGCAAGTTGATGCACTTCGCTTGAGGGGAATTCCTATTGTCTCTTTTTTTCAACCAATTTGGCTAATGCATGCGTGATGTACGATAGTGGGATCTGACTTTTCAATTTGCGTTTCAGATCGATCACCAGCGTTTCTGAATATAATAAATTCAATATTAGTGCCCATCTGATAATAAATTAGTACATTTAACATTGCAAAGTAATTTATCTACGGCTGGGCAGAAAAGTGTAGCGTTTTTCCCATGGTGAATTAATTTTGCCTCCCTCTACTCGTATGTATACATAGATTAACCTATCCCCAATAGCATTAAATATTTATTAAATATTTTCGAAAAATCTTTTTTTAATATTTAATAAATATATTTCTTATATATTCATAAAATATTCAGTTTCCATATATTCAGAAAATATATGAGGAACGTTTTTTAAATATCATTTTTATATTTTGATGAAATATCTAATATTTTTCCTAAATATCAATCGATTTTCAAGCTTTAATCTGATACATATTCTCAATGATATGGAAAATTCTTCATTGGTTATTTTAGCGAAAAGATAGGAATGCTTTAATAAAATTGGGTTTATAAAAAAATTATTTTAGATATAATGGTTTAATTTGCTAGGGAAATATCATTAAAAATCTATGCCTCTTCTGCATCTTGCAAATCCACTCCTCTGAAAAAAAAACTTACTAATTATGAAGTGTTGTTGAATATATAAGGTACTTTCCAGTGGTATTTTGTTTGAGAGAGATATTCTCCCAAACTACTCTAGAAAGTGTATTTATGGGAATATAAAATACATTGGAACAATATTGGTGCTGAGTTACTCTGAGTAGCTCAACTGGGTCACTGAAAAGTAGCTCTATAATGCATCTAGAAGGAACCCACATTTTCTTTCTATGAGAGGTAGAGATTTGGTTAATTTTAAAGAAAATTTGGTCGTTATTTTAGACATCTTGTTGAAAAATGTCCATGGGCACAACTTGATCCTTTGACTAACTTTCACAGAAAAGGTTTTTAACAATAGACCACTTATAGATTTTGTTGAAATGTGTCTTTTTGCAGAGTAAGGCTATTTGAGCAATAACTATTTTGTGATTTTATATTTTTAATTCAAACTACAAAAATATAGTATTTTCGACTGTTAAAATTTTGAAACGTCGCTCTTGAACTTGATAATTTTAAAATAGTTACAGCTAATTTTCCCCTTACAACAACAAAAATAATAATGATTGAGATATTTAAAAAAAGCATTTTTGATGTATCTGGATCAAGTTGCGGTTATATTACTTTTCATTAGGATTTTATGAATATAATTTACTTACCTTTATACTCAAGTAGCACAATAATGTTTACTAGTCAGATAAATTAAGCTATGTAATTCTCGAAAAACTTACCCTTTTCCCAAAAAAAAAAACACTCAAATAATGTACCACTTGAAGGTACACAGGAAGCACGCTATCATAGTGAAACTTCGAGACAAAATGGATGTCGGCAAACGGGTCGCCTCAGGTCGGCTTGCCATTATGCCAGTAATTAATGAATATTGTCTAAATAATTGAGATTTGATATGTTTCCATTGATTGAAAAATTAATATTTAATGGATATTATAAAAGAAATATTGTATTTAAAATTTTCAAAAGCTATTGAATAAATATTTAATAAAATATTATATTTCAAATATTTATTAAATATTCGTTCAAGATAACAAATATTTATGTAAGAAAAAAATATTATAAAATACTGGATATATTTAATTGATATTCCGTTCAATCGGGGATGCTGGCGGCCATGAAAACAGTCTTTAGATACGCATTTGTTGTTAGATGGTAGCGGAACCATCGATGATATAATAGTAAGGTAGTTTTATTCTTGTTTTCGATTTTACTTCTGTGGCAGATAGATAAAAGGGCAAGCCATTTTTTTGTCTTATGACATTTGACGTATTCGTGGAGAGTACGAGTATAAGAACAATTTAGTAAAATTGTATAAGTATATACTTTGAAGTTGAGTCATTAATTTCCAGATAATGATTGTAGAAGGAAGATAAACCAAAATATGTGTGTAAAAATAAAAAAAAATTAAAAAAAAATGTTTACCTTGTTTTATAAAGTATCCTCCCGACAAGTATTTCAGTGCGGACCTGTATTTGATCGTGAGGTCTTGGAGCACCGGCATGCCGTCCCCTGTGAGGTCTTAAGTCACCTGATTCACGAGCCCGTTGTACTACATTAACAAAGGCACGAGGGGTTGGTTGCACTCGATTGGGAAACCGATCCGCATAAACATGTGCCATTTTTGATTTCGTTTGAGCCACGCAACAGACACCACTATTCACTCACGCGTTACCGACTGACACTGACTGTATGCAACTGAATAAAATAATTGTAAAAACATCGTTCCAGATTCTTTCGCTTTTTTGTTTCCGATGCGATGAACCGATAAGGCGGATTATATCCGTTGTTGCCAAACGCGAGCACATAATATTATTATTGCGACAGGGCGGTACTCAAACTTCCAAAGGGCTATAACTTTGTTACTTTAATTTTACCAGAAAAATGGTAAAGGAAAAAAACATTTCTTTTGATCAGATCTACTCACTGTTAAAATAAATGACTCAACTTCGAAGTCATCCTGTATATTATTTTTATTATATTATATTACTATTAAAATCACAATCAAGATTGGGGCTAGGATCAAATTCGTCTAGTCTCCTTGGTCTTTGGATAATAATTTGTTGGCTCCAATGGGCCGAGCTCCTAACAAGAGAGAGATACTATAGAATCGAAACAGTTAGTTTGGCATGGGCATACAATGCGAATAGATTACCCAAAGCCGTATTCAGTTGGAGAAGACAAAAGGGGAGACCATAAAAGAGATAAAAACCGCTACGTTGATAGTTATTGAGAAGTCCATGTTGTTATTCGTTTTGTTTTGCAAATGTATTGAGACTACCTACTAACTTCATGCGATGAAAAAATAATTATTAGGTTGTATTTTGAACCCAAAAAAGTATTCCGGCTAATGTATCATTAAGCTGACATGGCATACCAATTAAGAGAAAAAAATCAACCGATAACTACCTTTTGTCCTACAGACGGACAATACGTAGCATCACGTGCGTATTCAACGATCTGCACAAAAACCGTCGTCGTATTACTCCGGTTGAGTTTTTGTGTGGTTTTTCTGAAAACGACCGACATACCCTGCCGCTCATTACCTTATCTCGGCAACAATTAATTAGCTGCTGGCCGGTTGATTGGAATACGCAAGGAAATCGACACAACCTGTCTGTCTCATCGATCAGACAGAGAGCAAGTCTTTATGGAAGCAGAAGGACCGGAGACAGTGGTAACTCGTCGCGTCTTATCCGTAAATGCTTTGACTGAATGAACGACGCAGCAATCCAGTATTGTATAGTAATTATTTTCCTAATTTAAAATGTCAACAAAATTAAAGGACCACAAAAACATTAATAAAAAATGGTACGACAGATCTTAAAAACAACTAACTCCTATCCGGTATGTTTTGCCTAAAAATGGTAGAGAAGCGCTTCTATCGCGATCTTGACTAAAATAATCACGCGGAACAATGAAAACGAGTACCTACAGTAGCGGACAAATGTTTGGAAACAAATATTAACATTATTATGAACTATCTCTCAGATACCTAAATTAAAATTGTGAAGGAACAGATAATATAAATATTAAAGTAATACCTTTGGGTCCCGTACTAATACAAGGTTTATCTTATCAATATTCAAATTCTCTGAAAATAAAAACGCGTTTTTTTAAATACCGCAGTTTTTGTAGTAAGTATGGAAACATTTCAGTTTTACCGTATTTATTCGTTCTGCGATACTCTGATATTGCGTGCGGTAAATAT